ACCCACCTGCCAAAGCAGGAGACATAAGAGACGTGGGTTTGATCCCTGGGTCAGGAAGATCCCCTGGAGGACGGCATGGCAACCAACTCCAATATTCCTGCCTGAAGAATCCCATGGACAGAGGAGCCTGGTGGGCTACAGTCCATGAGGTAGCAAACAGTCAGACACAACTGAAGCAACTTAGCATGCATGGCAATGCAGGAGACACAGGTTCAGTCTCTGGGTTGGGAAGATCTCTTGGAGGAGGAAATGACAATCCACTCTAGTATTCTTGCCTGGAAAATCCTATGGACAGAGGAGACTGACAGGCTGAAGTCCGTGGAGTCACAAAGAGCCAGACACAACAAAGTGACTGAGCATGTATGCACACATACTAATCAAAATAGTGCAGTGCTCACAAAAGCAGTCACACAGATCAACAGAAAGGAACAAAGCTCAGGAATAAGCCATGATTACAATCAATTAATCTATGACAAAGGAGGCAAAAATATCAAGTGGTGAAAGTCTCTTCAATAAATAGTGTTGGGAAAATTGGACAGTTAAATGCAAAAGAATCAAACTAGACCACTTTCTTATACCATATACAGAAATAAACTCAAAAATGGATTAAAGACTAAAAATATAAAACCCCTGTAAGAAAACATGGGCAATAAATCCTGACAACAGTATCTTTTTGTATCTATCTCCTCAAGCAAGAGAAACAAAAGCAAGAATAAACAAACAGGACTAATCAAACTAAAAGCTTTTGTATAGAAAAGAAAAACAACAACAAAAGAAAAAGCCAACCTTTTTATTGGGAAAAGATATTTGCAAGTGATATACCCAACAAAGGGCTAATATACAAAATATAAAAATAATATACACAACTCAATATCAAGAAACCAAGGAATCTGATTAAAAAATGGGCAGAGGAACAGAAGAGACATTCTTCCAAAGATGACACACACATGACCAACAGAAACATGAAAAGTTGCTTAATATCACTAATTATCAGGGAAATGCAAATCAAAATCATGATGAGGTATCACCTCACACGTGTCAAAACAGCTATTACCAAGAAGACAACAAATAAAAAGTGTTGGCAAAGGAAAAAGGAACCCTCACATGTTGGTGGGATAAACTGGTGCAGCCACTACAGAAAACAATATGAAGGTTGCTCAAATAATAAAAAGAACTACCAGAAGATCCAGCAATTCCACTCCTGGGTTTCTATTTGAAGAAAACAAAATACTAATTTAAAAAGATATATGCACACCTATGTTCACTGCAACATTATGTCAAATAGCAAGATATGGAAGCAAACTAAGTGTTCACCCATAGATAAAGAAAATATGGTATACATTTATGTATACAATGGACTACTACTCAGCCATAAAACAGAATGAAATCTTGCCATACGCAACATGAATGGACCTATGGGTTATTCTGGTAAGTGAAGTAAGTCAGGCAAAGAAAGGTAAAAACCAGATGATTTTACTTATACGTCATACATAAAAACCAAAACGAACAAACAAAACAGAAACAGACCCAGATACAGAGAACAAACTAGTAGTTGCCAGAGAAATGGGGAGTTGGCAAATAGTCAAAATAGGTGAAAGAGATTAAAAGGTACAAACTTCCAGTCACATAATAAATAAGTTTTGAGGATATAATATAATGTACAGCATGAGAAATGTAGTCAATAGTATTATAATAACTTTGTATGGTGACAGATGGTTGCTATACTTTCCAAGGAGAGCACTTTTTAATGCATATAAATGATGAATCACTATTTGTACACCTGAAACCAATACTGTATGTTAACTATACTTCAATAATTTTTTAAAAAATAAATACAAGAGATAAAAAGGGGGGTAGGAGGCTGGCAGTCAGGTTAGTATTATGTCAGTAAATACTATATTCCTTTTAGTGCTAAAATCTAAACAAATCAATAAAAACTATTCACAAATTTCATAATAAATCTTAGTATAGTATACATTGTGTTCAGTTCAGTTCAGTCGCTCAGTCGTGTCCGACTCTTTGCAACCCCATGAATCACAGCACGCCAGGCCTCCCTGTCCATCACAAACTCCCGGAGTTTACTCAAACTCATGCCCATCAAGTCAGTGATGCCATCCAGCCATCTCATCCTCTGTCGTCCCTTTCTCCTCCTGCCCCCAATCCCTCCCATCACTTCAATTATGTTCAACTCTTTTCGACCCTATGGACTATAGCCCACCAGGCTTCTCTATCCATGGGATTCTCCAGGCAAGAATACTGTAGTCAGTTGCCACACACTCCTCCAGGGGATCCTCCCGACCCAAGGATTGAACCCACATCTCTTACATCTTCTGCAAGGGCATGCAGGTTCTTTACCACTAGCGCCTCCTGGGAAGTCCATAATATATATCATTTACATCTAAATAATAAAAAATGAGAGAAAGCTATCTATTATACATGAATCTAAGTTCTGGTTTACTAAACATTAAAGAAAGCTAGTAAAATAAGGACATCCCAATTAGATTCAGTTTGGAGAGCAGATTTGTTCAAGGGCCATATAATGTACATACAAACACCCTTTAGCAGTTTTTCCCCTTTCCTATTATATAAGCTCAGAAATAGGTGAAAGAAACAAAAGCGAAAAAAAGGAGGAGGGAGAGAAAAGAGTAATAGGGAGGGAGGGAGTATTGGGGAGGAAGGGACTAACAATGGTTTAAAGCAAAGAAATAAAGACAATTTTAAACACACAGAAACACAGAATTTAAACATAAAATATATGACTAAGTCACCTATCAAAATAATAGTAACAAGGTCAAATTAACAAGAAGACTATAATTCTCAATAAGGAGAATAAAGTTGAGATATAGTTTAGAATTTTTTTTAAATAGAGGAAAAAATTCCAAATAGTAATTAATATCTACAGATCTGGAAAAGTTAGGAATACTAAAATAGTGTACTCCAGAAAAAATATTTCAAAAAATAGATTATAAGCTTCTTAAGGTCAAAAGCCATACTATATTCATCTCTTTATTCCCCCTGGTGTCTATACATAAGAGTAATTTAATACATTTTTTTAAGTGAATAATTCATTTGTATTATAGCTAAATGTTAATTCTCCCTAAAAGAATATCCAAAAGTAGTGCTTCAGGAATCCAAATCAGAGAGACCAGAGATGGTTTTTCTATAGTTACAATATGACATCAGAAGAAAAAAAGTTGGAGTTTCAAAAGTTTCTAAGGAAAGATAAGTTCAGATTCCTAAATGAATTAATGCTGCCTAATTATTAATAAATGCTTAAGAAAGTCATACATCTGTTCTTTTATAATGAGAGAAAATAGATTTTTTTAAAGTAACAGCATCAGCTTTCTGCAAAATATCACATTTTAAAAATATATTCACGAAGGTTATTTAAAAAGTACTTTTGTAAAGTTAGTACCAGTTATATAAGTAAAAAGTGTAGAAACCTGGCCTGCAGGCCACAATATTTCTTATAATTACTAGTAAGAAGTATAAATTGTAGAAAAATTTAAACTGATTATGAAAGTAGGTGTTACACTGCAAATAATTTTCTTTTCTTCGGCCATGCCATGCAATTTGCTGGATCTTAGTTCCCCAGCCAGGGATTGAACCCGAACCCCCTGCAGTGGAAGTACAGAGTCCTAACCACTGGACCACCAGGGAATTCCCTAAAATTAATTTATTTTAATCATCTTTAAACTTTAACATAACTTTTGATAAACTTCTATATTCATTGAAAGAGCACGCTAATATTTCTATTAACCAGAATTCTACTTATAAAAGATGGCAGAGATGAGATTCTAGCCACATATCTCCACCAATCAGAATACCTAAAACTATCACAGCTTATTAATAACCCCTGGTCACCGGGGAAACTAATAAAAGTACTGACTTCTCAAAGTTCTAAATATCAACCTAACTTTATAAACCAGGCTCCAATTCTGATGATTTATAAGAGTAAAAATTAAATACAGTATATTCTGTATTGCAACAAAAGCCTTACAAACTACAGGCATACCTCATTTTATGGTGCTTCACTTTACTGTGTTTTATGTATAGAGTTCTTTTTTTCTTTTTTTCCAAAATAAACTATACAAATTGAAGGTTTATGGCAACTCTGCAATATCAGATGATGATTAGCATTTTTTAGCAACAAAGTATCTTTTAATTAAGGGATATACATTTTTTTCTTGACATAATGCTGTTGCACACTTAATAGACTACAGTATGGTGTAAAGATAACTTTAATATATACCAGGAAACCAAAAAATTCATGTGACTCGCTTTATTACAATATTTACTTTTGGGGATGGTCTGGAACCAAACCTGCAATATCTCTGAGGTATGCCTATGTATTATTATATTCTAGAGACAAGAACAAAAAGGGAAGCCAAAGCACACTCAAAAATATCTCTTCACACACTAGTCATGGGAATTCTCTATATAATCACTTAAATTAATAACTTTTAAATTACAAAATATTTAATGATATAATAGTAATGGTTTCACTAGTAATCTGGCAATATAACCTCAAAAAGCAAGAGTTAATGCTATTATATACCAGTAATTCAATATTCTTCTCATTTCTAAATTATTTTCCTCTTCCTAACTAAAAGTGTTATTTTAGAAGAAACTCAAATTTGACAGAAATCTTCATTTAATTTCCTCAAAAATAAATCATAAAGATGTAGGAATTTTCATAATAGCAGATATTCCAGGAGGCTCTTATTTAAAGTGGGGGGGAATTACAAAATATTGATGAAATCACTTAAATTTCAAAAGACTGTAACCAATTATATATTTAATCTCAACAGATAACATCTTTAATGAAAATGAAATAAACTTACTGCCATCTACTTTAAGTCATATCCCAAATAACCAATACAAATTAATATAAAAGCATTTTACATTAAGTTTTTCACACCTCTATCACACTTTTGAACTCACTTGGGTAAATAGGGATCTTTCCAACAGCAGCAGCAGTTTCTACAAAGTTTATTTACCTTGTCCAGGTCTGGGAGTTACAGTTGCTCCAGCAGATGGTGGCTCAAACTCCTATCAAATACAGTAATGTTATTACAGTGTCCTACTACAATGGGCAATTTATAATGAAATGGTGATATCACAGCCTTACCTTTGCTTTCTTTGAATCTGGATCAAACCTTTCAAGAATTAACTTAGCTGTTTTATAAGTTTCTTTTTCCATGACTTCTTCAAGCTGCAAACAAAAATTTCCACAAATTGTCACATTTTAAAACACTCATACACTACATATTTTTATAAGTCCTATTCAAAAAGTATTCAAGTACAAGGCTTAAAATAAATAGCACATAATACATCCAGATAGCATGAAAGACTTCCTACATTCAAATAATAAAATTCAGAATTTAAAATGGCTTCTAACCTCTAATATGTTACTTGTATTTAACAGCTTTACCACAAGGAAATACCAAATATTGCTAATTGTTTACGTATAATGAGGAGAATAATTACATGCACCAACTTCAATAATGGAATGTGCAAAAATCTATCAGCCATCATTATTGGAAGTTATTAGACATGACAAGCAAATGACAGGCAATTCCTCAGATTTATTTCCTCATATCACTTAATGCTATTAATTTAAAGAAGGTCGTTAGCCAAGAGCTTTACAAAATAAAATCTCTGTGCCAATTAACTGCTGTCAGCATCGATTTTAGATTATTTATTAGCAGAAGCAATTAGCTTGCTGCAAAATGCAGTGAAAACTCAGTAACTGGGAGAACAGCCATGCTCTCTCATGGAATTTGCTCAAATGACTTTAAAAGGTGAAGCTCTCCCTTTTTTACTTAGATTCAAACAACTTTAGAGGGAAAAAACAGAACACAGTAAGAATTTAAGTAAAAATCTTACTGAGTTCTATGCTCACACTAGTGACTATAATTAAAGCACTTCATTATTATAGCATTTTATTTACAATGCACTCAAGTTGCTTTATGGCTTAATATGTGGGTTTAATTTCAAAAGCAATCACTAGTAAAGCATCATCTTAGCAGTTAAAGCCCAATATCAGAAAAAGTTTTACTTTAATGCAAGACAGTCATAATTATGACAGATAGCTAATATACAGAATGAAAATGCTTTTGCAAAACTTGGAAGAGGAACTTCCTTTTCAGTGACCACTGACAGCCACTTAGATTCATTAAATGTCATGTTTATTACAAAGGCCATTTATTTTAAAATGCAAAGCAGAGCACATTTACCAAGTTAAACTATAATTAAAATATGCTGCCACAATAGTAGTTAGATTTCTCATTAAAAACTCAATATTTAAGAAGTTAAAGTGCTTAGATGAACGATTTATTAACCTTGGTTTAGTGAAACTAAAACATTTTTCTAATTATTTCAAAATCATCATAAAGTCTTAAAACAAGCACATCTAATGTATATCCATGGCTGATTCATGTCAATGTATGACAAGAACCACTACAATATTGTAAAGTAATTAGCCTCCAATAAAAAAAAATGAAAATAAATAAATAATTAATTTTAAAAAAAAAACAAGCACATCTAAATTTCAGATGTAAAGAAAATGTTTGTAACATTATTTCTTTAGGGTTGGGGAAAAACTGGGAATGGGGACAGAAGGCAAGATATGATCTATCCCCAAATGAACATAATCTACATGAAATAGCAGAGAACTGAATCCCTGACCTCTACAAATTAATTTTTGATAGTCCAGACCAGTGTTATAACAACAGAATTATATGCAATAATGAAAGTGGTTTATATGTATATAATACAATAGCTACAATAAAATACGTGATAAATGATCACTTAAAATATTGCTTGCACAACTAAGGAACCCAACTGTAGCTTTTATTCTACTTTGTACTCAGTCACTCAGTCATGTCCAACTCTTTGGGACCCCATGTACTACAGCCTGCCAGGCTCCTCTGTCCATGGGATTCTCCAGGGAAGAGTACTAGAATGGGTTGCCATTTCCTCTTCCAGGGGATCTTCTTCCTCACCAGGGATAGAACCTGCATCTCCAGCATCTTCTGCACTGTCAGGTGGGTTCATTACCACTAGGACCACCTAGGAAGCCTCTTTATCCTACTTCAAATAACATAAATTTTAAAAGCTACATGGGTCTAGTGGCTGATTTGGACAGCACAATTCTAGAGTAAGACTATGCTGCTGCTCCTAAGTCGCTTCAGTCGTGTCCGACTCTGTGTGATCCCATAGACGACAGCCCACCAGGCTCCCCCGTCCCTGGGATTCTCCAGGCAAGAACACTGGAGTGGGTTGCCATTTCCTTCTCCAATGTGTGAAAGTGAAAAGTGAAAGTGAAGTCGCTCAGTCGTGTCCGACTCTTAGTGACCCCATGGACCGCAGCCTTCCAGGCTCCTCCATTGATGGGATTTTCCAGGCAAGAGTACTGGAGTGGGGTGCCATTGCCTTCTCCAAGAGTAAGACTATAACTAGGTTTAAAAAGAAGATTAGATATAACTGTGATCTTTAAAACAATTTACAAGACTAAAAACTAAAATGCCACTTTAACAAGCGACTGTCACTCCTAGTACATCATTCAGCAAATATTCATGTCTATGCACATGTAAAATATCTTAAAATCATTTTAAAAAGCAAAAAATACAAATCCATTATCTTTTGCACTTCAGTTCAGTTCAGTCGCCCAGTCGTGTCTGACTCTTTGCAACCCCATGAACCGCAGCACGCCAGGCCTCCCTGTCCAACATCAACTCCCAGAGTCCACCCAAACCCATGTCCATTGAGTTGGTGATGCCATTCAATCATCTTATCCTCTGTCGCCCCTTCTTCTCCTGCCCTAGATCTTTCCCAGCATCATCAGGGTCTTTTCAAATGAGTCAGCTCTTTGCATCAAAAATCTTTTTTCAGGTAATAGCTTAATTCACACATTTATTCCTACCACATTTTAAGCGAATAATCTTTTTCATATAGAGAGACATCTGATCAGTGGGAAGAATACAAACTTGAAACCACAGCATCAGAAAAGATCTAGGTTCAAAGTACATCTCCATTCTTAATTAGCTGTAGAAAGACTTTAAACAAATCTGTTAGCCCCAGTGTCTCCTTTTGTACAGCTGAAAAAATATTACTACTTTCTCATAACACTGTTGTTCAATTTAAATAATATAGGAGAGTCTACAATAGTACCTAACACAAAACACATGATCTTCAGAGATTACCTTCAATTTTTCAGAGTGGAACTGAAACAAGTTTTCAAACACATCTTCAACTACCCAACACATTAATACCAGGACTCAGGAATGAGAAATTGAATTCTCAGAATACCCGAAATTATAAATTACTCTGTATTCTTCAAAATATTTTACATACTTAAAATAATAATGAATGATGTAACAAAGAATGGATTGCTTTTCTGTGATATGATTATATTGAAAGTTCCAGAGTTTTTTATTTAATATAGAGAGGGAACCCCTGGTTCAGTTCAGTTCAGTTGCTCAGTCGTGTCCGACTCTTTGTGACCCCATGGACTGCAGCACGCTAGGCCTCCCTGTCCATCACCAACTCCCGGAGTTTATTCAAACTCATGTCCATTGAGTCGGTGATGCCATCCAACAATCTCATCCTCTGTTGTTCCCTTCTCCTCCTGCCTTCAATCTTTCCCAGCATCAGGGTCTTTTCCAATGAGTCAGCTCTTAACATTAGGTGACCAAAGTATTGGAGTTTCAGCTTCAACATCAGTCTTCCAATGAATATTCAGGACTGATCTCCTTTAGGATGGACTGGTTGGATCTCCCTGCTGTCCAAGGGACTCTCAAAAGTCTTCTCCAACACCACAGTTCAAAAGCATCAAGTCTTTGGTGCTCAGCTTTCTTCACAGTCCAACTCTCACATTCATACATGACCACTGGAAAAACCATAGCTTTGACCAGATGGACCTTTGTTGGCAAAGTAATGTTTCTGCTTTTTAATATGCTGTCTAGGTTGGTCATAGCTTTTCTTCCAAGGAGCAAGTGTCTTTTAACTTTATGGCTGCAGTCACCATCTGCAGTGATTTTGGAGCCCCAAAAAATAGTCTGTCACTGTTTCCCCATCCCTGATACCCTGTGGTAAAGAATCCACCTACCAACGCAGGAGATACGGGTTTGATCCCCGGTGCAGGAAGCTTCCACATGCCATGGGTGCACCGTAAGAAAGGAGCCTGGGCTGTAGAGCCAGGAGCTGCAGCTACGGAGCCCGCGCACCACAAACGCCAAAGGCCGAGCCTGTGCTCCTCAACAAGAGAAGCCACAGCAATGAGATGCCTGTGCACTGCAAGCAGAGAGCAGCCTCCACTTGCTGCAACTAGAAAAAAGCCTGGGCAGCAACAAAGATCCAGCACAGCCAAAAATTTAAATAAATAATATACAAAAGAGAAAAATAAACACATGATTGCTTATTATGAATCAACATTATTTTGGCAAGCTTATATACTTTGAGAACATATAAAAATTATTTCTACCTGATACAGAATTTCATCAGAGAACACTAAAAGAAGGGAACACTAACACAAAATAAATGTCAATTTATTTTAATTTTAATTTTGAGAGAAAATTCTACAATATTTAAATTATAATTCTTGAAATAAACTTTTAAAACGCAGAAAGCATTAACTGCCCTATCCAATATTCTTGTTCCTTGTCTCATAATGAATATTCCACATGTAGAAAAACATCTTTTGGGGTTTCCCTGGTGGCTCAGTGGTAAAGAATCCACCTGCCAATGCAGGAGACACAGATTCTATCCCTGAGTCGGGAAGATCCCACAGGCCTCAGAGCAACTAAGACCATGCACTACAACTACGGAGGCTGTGTTCTAGAGCCCAGGAGCCACAACTACTGAGCCCACATGCCTTATAGCCCATGCTCCATAACAAGAGAAGCCACTGCAATGAGAAGCCTGCACACTGCAACTAGAGAGTAGCCCCGGCTCGCCATAACTAGAAAAAGCCCACACAGCAACAAAGACCCAACACAGCCAAAAACATATTAAAAAATAAAATTTTTAAAAAGAGAAAAATGTCTTTTGTACTTCCCTGGTGCTCCATTCGTTAAGAATCCACCTGCCACACATATATATGGAATTTAGAAAGATGGTAATGATAACCCTATAAGCAAAACAAAAAAAGAGACACAGATGTACAGAACAGACTTTTGGATTCTGTGGGAGAAGGCGAGGGTGGGATGTTTT